AAAGATCTGCTCTATCAATTATTTTGGAGAAGTTTTGTGGCCTGTGTTATATATAGGATGTTATATATGTGTTATATAGGATGGTGTCAGACTACCGTCCTTGGGATCTTTGAATCTATGGGAGGCTTTTGGGATTTTCAATCTGAAAGTGAATTTTCCTCTTATTTTAAAAAGATGTGCATCCTGAATGAGAATCTGCACCCCTGCCCACTACAAAGTTTAGCTCTCTGGGGACTCTGTAGTTAAACACTTAGTGGTTCTATTGCTGTATGGATCTACTGGCCATTGTCCCCTGTGGAGCTGGCACCCAGAAGCAGTAGTGTCTACTGCATCATTAGGGCTCTGTAGCAGCCACATGTAGGATTTCTTCCCCAGCCCCTTTTGAAATTCTCCCCTTGCTACTCAGTCTAAGAGCAAAGGTCTAGATTTAGCCCACACAGAATAAGTTGGGTGTGAGTTGTATCAGAGGGGGTTGTGGGGAGAGTTTAAATTTTGGTGCTCAACCAAAAATCAGTTGTCATTTTGTTCTGTTTTTTATTATTATTTGATTGGTCTTTTAATTTCTTTGATTATTCAGGGAAAATCTAAATTTCCATGTCCATATTTAAATTACAATAGCACTTTACTTTTTTCAGGCTTTAAGGCTGCATGTGACATTTTAGCAGCATGTTCTGGCGGGAGGTGGTGGTTGTGTTACTATTTTTATTTTATTTTTTATATTAAAATTGTGCCCAAAGGTCCTAATCAGGATCAAGACCTATTGCCCCAAGTGCTGTACAAACACAGGATGAGATAGTTACTGCCTTGAAGATGATATAGTAATAAGAAACTAAAGCTAATGTGAACTTAGTTGTACTCTTAGAAACAATTGCAGTATTTATGACCTGAAGTTTCGGCTGTGACTAACGATTTAGGGTGTCTCAATTTGTGGGTGTCACCTTTAAAAAGGGCCTGATTTTCAGAGAGTGGGTAAATCTGAAAATCAGGACTATTTCATGTGACTCAAGTTGAAATCTCACAATTACCATTGACTTTTGAAAATTTAGGCCTGTGACTTGTATTGGGATGTCAGGATTATTTGGACTCTGTCAGTTCAGTTTTGGGCCCCAGATTTAAGGGATTTGTTTGTTTTTAAATCAGCTTTTATTAAATCCAATGGTAACAGAAAATTTTCCATACTATTTTTTTTAAATCCAATGGAAAGAATTTAATTTAAAAAAACAAATTAAATATTGCCCACCAGCGTTTGCAAATCAGACATTACAGCATTGTGCTAGCACAGATAAAAGTGAGTAAGACTTTTAACTTTGTTGTTTAAATATTTCATAAGCTGTCAGTGACTTTAATCACCGGGCCTGGATTTTGTCAGCCTGGGCAACTTGCTGTAGGAGTGTACACTTCACATTCCCTACACTCAGGTTAGCTCAGGGATGACGTTAACGTAAAGGTGACTTAATTTGGGAGAGGCGAGTGTGGAAGGCTGAAAATATGAAAGTCACATTTTTTTATAACAATCTTTGATTATCAGAATTTCCCATAATACCCTTGCCTTTTTCAAACACCAACCTGACAAACCCACACTATCCTATAACTGCTTCACAACTGGGAAGAGGGATGGGAGGGAATTATTTGGGTTTTCCTTTCAAATTTGCTGATGGCTGTTTTTTCTTCTTTTATTAAGTAGACCGCTTATGCCACCTGATTAGGAAAGCTCTGTGGCCCCAGTTCTCCGGTCAGGCTGGGCTGCAATCAGTGCAGAGTCTGGTGGGATGTAGGGAAAATGTAACATCAAGGTGACTTTGTGCTGATCATGGGACCCCAGCAAAACAGAACAGTCTTAGGATTGCTATAACTTGCACCTTCTGGTAGCGACAGTTCCACTAGCTGGGGATTGCCAGAACACTGGCCAAACCCCATTCCCCTGGACATGTATCCAAAATTAGAGGGCTGAGTGGGTGAGGGTAAGTATAACTGGTGTAGCTGGCTGTACACACCTGGGGACCTTCCCATGCTGGGGGAATCCTCCTATATGACTATATACTTAAATGACTGGTTTTAATACATTTAATATTCTCTCATTTTAAAACCCAAGAATCTTAAGTAGGCTGAATCTGAATCAGCTCTGTTCTTCCCACCCCCGTATGATTTTGTCACTAGTCTTTCATTGATAAGATCTGGTCTATGCATCATACTTCTTCCGTAACACCTCACCCACCACCTACGGTAGTTCCATCATAATTAGAGATGTGCAAAGCCAGGGCTGGTGTTGCAAATCCTTGTCAGTCAGGTTTGGGTTTTGCAAAACAAAACTCACCAAATTCAGGGGTGGTTCTGGTTTGCAGTTTGGATTTATATCCAATAGTTCTATAGAGTGACTGCATTTTATTGGCACCTAGCTTCCATTGCTGGGATTTGTCATTCACAAATAGTGATGGGTGAATCTCAAATTGTTCAGTCTATCATCCTAGCAAAGTCAGCAAAGGCAGGTTAAAGAAATACCAGAGATGCTGCCCTTTTCTGTTTGATCTAAGAGTGACAAAAACATACCTGCAAGAACTACTGTTAGGACAACTGACCAGATTGGGAAAGATGGGCATACAATTTTTTTCAGCAGATATGCATTTTTTTTAAGTTGATGATGTTCCTTTAAGCTACTGTATATATGTGAACAGAAAAACAGGAATAGAAAACACTACCTCAGTACAACCAGCTGAGTTATAATTGCTGCTGGAACCATAATGAGGCCATTTTATGGTTGGTTTTTAATTATGACAGGTAAGATCACCTTTCTGGCTCACCGCTCTCATTATCCCTCCATTTGTTCACCTGTCTCCACCAGATCAAACAAAAGCTTCTTGTCTTCATCTTCAGTTCCCTTCATCATTTAGCTCTGCCTCACCTACCAGACCTACTCTTCTGTCATGACACCAACTCTGCCTCTGCTCTGCTGGTGACATGAGCCATTATCATGCATAGGTCCACTTGTTCCTTTGGCATTGTCACACTTTATCCTATGCTCCCTAACCATATTCCTTGGGAAAACGCTGTCAAAACCCATAAAAATACCTCCCTTCCTCCATCAAATTGCTGCTTAAGACTTATCTCTGCCATAGTGCCTACAGAACACTAGCACACTTGTGGCTAGGCAGATAGCAAGTTGAGAATACTAGTTTTTTATGCAAAATTGCTTCATATCTTATCCTACCATCTCCCTCCCGCACAGTCTTTTGTCTGTTCCCTATTGCTTTTGATATCATCCTAAGAATATGATCTGTCTGGAGTACGGTTGCCAACTTTCTAATTGCACAAAACCGAAAACCTTAGCCCCGACCCTTCCCCAAGACCACACCCCCTTTCCCACCCCTTCCCCAAGGCCACTACATTCCCCCTCCCTCGATAACTCGCTGTCCCCCACCCTCACTCACTTTCAATGGGCTGGGAGGGGATGAGGGCTCTAACTTGGGGTGCAGGCTCCGGGGTGGGGCTAGAATGAGGGGTTCAGGGTGTGGGAGGGGGCTCCGGACTGGGGCAGCAGGTTGGGGTGTGGGAGGGGGTGAGAGCTCCGGTTGGGAGTACGGGCTCTGGAGTGGGGCTGGGGATGAGGGGTTCAGGGTGTGGGAGGGGGCTGTGGGTTGAGGAAGGGGATTGGGGTGCAGAGGGGGTAAGGGCTCTGTCTGGGGGTGCGGGCTCTAGGGTGGGGCGGGGGATGAGGGGCTTGGGGTGCAGGAGGAGGCTCCGGGTTTGGTGGTGGCTCAGGGCTGGGGCAGCAGGTTGGGTCTTGGGGTTGGGGCGCGGGATTACCTCTGGCAGCTCCTGGTCGGAGGTACAGCAGGGGTAGGGGGGCTAAGGCAGGCTTCCTACCTGTCCTGACTCGGCGCTGCACCCCAGAAGTGGCCAGAAGGTCCAGCTCCTAGGCGGAGGCGCGGCAGGCAGCTCTGCATGCTGCTCTAGCCCGCAGGCACCGCCTCCACAGTGCCCATTGTCCACGGTTCCCGACCATGGGGAGTGTGAAGCTGGTGCTCGAGGCAGGGGCAGCGTGCGGAGCCCTGTTCCCCTGCCCCCTCCGACTAGGAGCTGGAGCTGCTGGCCACTTCCGGGGCACAGTGCAGCGCCGGGACAGGTAGGAACTAGCCTGCCTTAGCTCTGCAGCACCACCAACTGGACTTTTAACGGCCTGGTCGGTGGCGCTGCCTGGAGCCACCAGGGTTCATTTTCAACTGGGTCAGCCTAAGCCTGGAGCAGAAACGTTCATTTTTATTTGTTTGTACAGCACTTAGCACAGTTGGGCCCTGATATTGGATTGGGATCTCTAGAGGCACTACCCTTATACAAATACAAAATAATAATAAAGGCTGTTTTCCGGCTACCAGACCTTTCACACCTGATTGAGATGAATGGATTGTGAAGGGGTGAGTTCTCTGCTATTCAGTTAAATATTAGTAGCAGAAGAGGTTTTTGCTGCTTCACAGCTTTTAAAATGCAAAAAGACGCAGGACAAACATTTTTCTTCATCCCTCTCTACCAAAGCATGGTAATGATTACCCCCTCTTTTTTTACATAGTGGGAAAAGTGGGGGAGGGTGTTGTCCATTTGTTTCCCGTTTTACCAAAACTCAAAAATAAGGACAATTTTCTTTCTGAAGGTGATTATTAAAAAAAAAAAAAAGTACAGCATGGAAAATATAAAGACTAAGAGGTGAACATTTCAGAAAGTTATTAGAATGTGAAAATAGGACGCTGTCGAAAAAAGTGTTGTGCTACTTTAACAATAGATGTCGCTCACCTCCTTGGCCGAATTATAATTCATCTGAATCCTTCTGTTTTACATTTTGTCTCAGGTGTGCAAGATATAAATGGAAAATCTTTGTCAGATCTGAAGCATCCATGTAAATTAACTGCATATTTCCAGATCTTTCTTGCTTTCTATCCTTCCTTCCTTTTGAATTATATACATTTTATATTGTAATGAGATGTTAAAATGCCTTGTAATTCTTAATCCAGGTAACCTTGACAAACACATAGAACTAGAGAACCTGGTGGCCCGGTTTCTTGATGTGGAAGCAGCTATGGTGTTTGGCATGGGCTTTGCTACTAACTCTATGAATATTCCATCACTGGTTGGGAAGGTGAGTATGACTATTGCCAGCTAATTGTTTTGCCTACAGTTACACTACTTCAAACGCACAATAAATGGTGAGGCTTGGTCTGAACACAAGATTAGATACCAGGAACTTCTGAGTTCTGACACTGATGCTCTTCTTCACCTCGGGTTCACCATTTCATCACGCTCTCTGTCAGTCACTCCTGTGTGTTGCTAAGACACTTACCACCCTTGTATTTAAGTACCAGTGTAAGTACTTAGCCTCTTTCCCTCCATTTACCCTTCTCTAAAATGTTAATAGTTTTTGCCTCCCATCTCAGAGAGCTGTTGTAAGAATTAAATAGTGGAACGGATTCTCCTCCTGCTTACTTAGGTGTAAATCCATTGATGTTGGTGGAGCCACACCAGCATAAAACTGATCTGAGACGAGAATTGGGCTAGGTTTTGGGAAATGAGAAATGTTTTGTGAGAGGATCAGTATTGATATTACATAAATCTGAGACCAACGTTGCAAGAAAGCTGTCAATAAACACAAGCACAAAGTTTAGACTATCTTACAGAAGGTTGGTCCAATAATGGCGTGATGAACCACAGTATGTTTGGGCTGTTAGTTGGGGAAATTTCTAACCTCACTTGAGTTAGACATGATTGTGAAACAGATTGCATCCTTCTTGGAGCTGATTGTTGATATCCCAGAGTGTAGTGTATGTTTGAACATTAATGCTAAGGGCCTTGTGAAGCATGAGGTTGAAAGCAAAGTGCCTGGAGCACCTGAGAAGGGAGAGAACTATGTCCTAGGATAAAATAACAGTCATATTTGTGAAAAATATATTTTATTGAGATTGATATCATTTAAAAAAACTTTCTCCAATAGTCTAGTGAAGGGAAATTTGGGGTACAGTGCAGGGACACAATGATGGGAAAATGATGTTCCTTATTTGTAGAATCTGAGCTTCATGTTGCAGTTTTGGGATACTCAAAGGTACTGTATGGGAAGGAAGGAGCAGAATCTCTAGTAGTCTTCTTCAAGTACATGTCAGTGTGGATCCCACTGTGGGCGCGCATGCATCCCCTCCACCAGGGTAATTCACCGCTGGCTACTTACATATATGTCCCTGAAGCAGAATATTGGGTCCAAATACCCCCAGACTTAAGAAATTTTCCAATTCACATTTAAGCACTGCAGTTTGGTTGGTCATATGTGATCTATCCACTCACATTAACTTGTGAATATTCCAAAGGTTTATGTGGATACTTATTGTGATCCTCCTCCACAGGGTTGCCTCATTTTAAGTGATGAGTTGAACCACACATCTCTTGTTCTTGGTGCAAGACTTTCCGGTGCTACCATTAGAATCTTCAAACACAACAGTGAGTATTGATGCTGGAGATGTTTGGTGGCAGAGATGTTCCAACCAGACAGAACTGCTTATACAAGTTTTGCCATCACCTATTTGAGAATATTTTATAAGGGGCGGGGGATTAGCCTCTCAAAGCTATATATGATTTCTGGTTTTGGAGAGAGAAAAATGAAATGCATACAATGACAGTTTGCAGTTGATAAAAGACCATGACCATGACCAGTGCCCTGGTTAGCCATGTCGGAGCTTAATTTTCAAAAATATTTCTCACCATAACCACCCTTTTGGCTTGGTGTGTTACTGAGATTCTGTACGGTGCTAGAAACATTTATTTACAATTGCAACAGAGAATCAGTACAAAAGACTAAGGTGTTTCAGAAGCGCTCAACGCTGGCCTAACTCTGTTACCACTGAAGTCAGTGAGAGCAGAGTTAAGCTAATGCAGAGTGCTTTTGAAAACCCCACCCTAAATTTCTGGCAGGTTTTTTCAAGTATTCAGAAAGCTGGGATATAAGCATCTGCCCTCATACTGACTTCACCAAAATAGGATTTTAGGACAAGACTGATACTAATTCTACATTATAACGCTGTTGTTGCATAGCGGTCTGTACCAGCACCACCTACTGGTATGGCTTCAGGCTAGCCACTCCCCAGTAACTTCAACATAGGCTTTCATGTGTCAAGTAACACCCCTTCTTGTGTCCTAGATTTATTAACAAAGTTCACAAGGAGACAGAAGAACTCCCATCCAACATCCTAGCTGGCTCACAGTCAGTCCTTGGTGTAGGGTTCTTAGGCCTATCCCTTCCCTGCTGAGATTTTGCTCTAGCAGACTTGCCCGCCACACTCTAGCTTCCCTAGCTAGCTTCTGCTCCCTGTAGGCGTGCATCCCCAGGCCTTCTGCGTAGGAGCTAGGGAGAGCCTTTCTGTGTGGAGCAGTTCATGCGGTCCTTCTGCTCATTTCAACCTCTCCCTGCTTTCTGTTGAGCATCAACTCCCTGGGCTTTCTGCCTGGGTCTTTTCTTCTCTCTCTTTGGCTGTCCATAGGCTTCTGTTGTATTTCTCCCCTACATGCCTTGCCTGTCAGATGACTTAGCTCATTTTCTCCACCTGGGCAGGTGAGTTAAGTGTGTCACAGATGGGGCTGGACCCATCTCCCCTTAAAGGGCCAGTCATCCCATTACATGGCCTTTTAAAACATTGACAACATTGCCTTTTACTTAATTAATGCTGCTGACACTGTGGCATTGGTGGTACTTGCTATACTTGCAAACCCCTGTAGTAAAGATTATAGCACGGTCACTGCATATTGTCTACCTAAATACTCCCTTCAATTTCAGTTGCTATTCTCCACTGTTCTGTATCATGCCATGTACAGGTACTGTGTAACCAGTTACTACGTTACCCCATCCCGGAGGTGAGTGAAGTCATTAATTATGTATATGTTTATAAAAACATATGATGAAAGGTGCACTATAATTATAAGATACAGTATCATTATTAGCATCATTTTAATTGGCCAAGAAGCAATTCCATAACCTCATTAAGCACCATTTATGAATAAGCCTGATTCAAAACATATTTACAAAAGTAACTATTTATAAATTTACAATGTGATGCGCTTACTAACATTCAGTGATCCGACCTTAGAGATTTAGACATACTAGGCAGTATTTCTATACTTGTGTCTCTCTTGATCTCTGACCTCTTCCTTAGATTGCACTGTGCTCCACTCAGTAACTTATCCCAGTCACACTTTTTTTGCTGCATGACATTTTGAAGGATGACCTCTAACCACCAAAACCCAAGGGCTCTCAACTCCCCCACCAACGCCATCTCCACATTCACCCCCTGATTATTTTGTGCTATTTCCCATAGCACTTGAAAGAAGATATCCATTCAGGGAATGTGATTCAGATTACAGTTCCTAAAAGAATGTTGAAGACGTCACATTGATTTTTGACCCATATGTTGATAAATTAATACCCCTTCCCCGCCTGATCACTTGTCAAAGAGCCATCATACACGTTCTCCTCCTTTCCCCCCCGTGAACTAACATCTAATCAGCCTGCTGTTAGGGTAAATGATAAATCAGAGCTGATATTCTCTGTAAAGAATGTGGAGCAAAATTAACAGCAATAGCTAACTAGTTCCACAAACACCAAACTGCAGATGGAAAATTAGGTAATTCCCTTAAGCACCTCAGCAAACACCACTGGAAGCTCATCAGATTCTTTCTATGTAACCCATTGTTCCCTAGATTAGGGATTTGATTTGCCAAAGCCAGTCTAGTTTTATGTAAAAGCTGACTAGTTTAACCATTTTGAGCCTTATCACCGTAACCAGAATTACAGTAAGACAACGCTTATCATTATGAAACAGTGGGAACCTTTTGGAGCATTATATATCGTTTCTGAGTTAACCCCGTTCTGCCTGGACTTTAACATGAAGTATACCTAGAGAATCCTTTTCATTGTGAAACGGTATGAACATTTTGTAAAACTCTGTATACTTTAAGTTTCTGATCTTCAACCCCCAACCCACCCCCGTATAGGAAGCCATATAGATAAATACCCTTGCTATAAAGCTGCTATTTTGGAGAGTTCTTATAAACAGATTTCATAAATCAAATCCAGAACCTACCTACCAACTCACTTTCCTCATCCAATAACTATTAAGAATAGTTTTACACGTATGGAATACTTTTTCATCCTAAAAGATCCCAAGTGGCTTCCAGCGCTATACGTGTGACACATTACCCAAATGCAGCACGGCTGGACAGCGTGGCAGCTAACTGGCACACATCCAGCAGGACAGACAGAATCCCCTTTGTGAAGGCCCCGTCTACACTGTAAACCCATTTCGGATGCAGTTGTCTTGTAGCAAGTTGTGGTTTGCTTTGTAAATGGGACTTAAGTGAATTTTAAAAACAGCATGTCCAGGGCTTTGACATCAGTTAAAAAATATGTTTAGGTGCTATTTACGTTGCAAAATGGACTGTGTCAGAGGACAGTAGCATTGTAGCTGGCTACTCCAACATCCTTACATTTGTAATGTGTATACAGGGAATGGCTAGCCCAAAAGATCCACACTATACTAGTCTACACTAGGAATTTACATCGGTTTAGCTATGTCTCTCAGGGGTATAAAAAATCCACACCCCTGAGAGATGTAGATATACTGACCTAACCCCCAGTGTAGACAGTGGTAGGTCCATGGAAGAATTCTTCAGTCTACCTAACTGCCACCTCTTGGGAGGTGGATTATCTACACTGATGGGAGAAGCCCTCCCTTTGGCGTAGGTAGTGTCTACACTGAACCGCTACAGCAGCTCAGTTGTGGCGCTATAATATTTTAAGTATAGACAAGCCTTTAGTAATCTAAATGGTTCTTCATTTAACTGCCTCAAACACTTAGCCTTGTTCAGATATTTGAACCTATTGTTCCAGTTTGTCTAGACATACCAGCCTTCTGCTTCAATACTGCAAAGCACTTAAGCAGGTGCATAGCTTTAAGTATATGAATAGTCCGATTGACTTTAATGAGACCACTCATTTGTTTACAGTTATGCACATGTTTAAGTGCTTTGAGGGGTCAGGGCCTTGACGTTTGAACTGCTAAGCTCATTGGCCACCCGTAACCCAAATGTTAGACTTGTGCTTTCATTCTCACACTTAGTGGAAATAGGTCAACTGATCTACCTGTTATCCAAGTCACGTTGCTGGGTGTATGGGGAAGCTTCCCTGTGCTGTATCAGCTCTGTGGATAAAAAGAAAACTCTGCATCCGGTGCAGAGCATTTAATGAGCATTAATTTGACTCTAAAATTATAAAGTGTTTTTGTCCTTTTTTAAAAAAAAAATCACTTTCCCACAACCTCAGCAGGAGGTAGGTGATACTCATTACCTGCAGGGAATGGGAACTAGTTTGTGTCATGGCTGATGAGGGGAGCCAACATCTCTCTGAAAGGGGTCTGGTAGTTGCCTTCAGTTGGAGGATGTCACCATGTCAAGGACCTTCTGCTGAATAGCTGGAACAATACTCCATTCATGGAAGCCAAGGGTCAAAGAGTAGAATTGAATCCAGCTATGAAGTTGTGAGAGCTCTAAAGATAAGGTCAGCCCGGAAGGCAAACAGCAATGGGTTGTAATACGGCACTCTAAAAAAGTCACTTATTAAACATGAGAATGGAATCAAATTCTTTGCTGATATAAACTGGCACCGTTCCACTGTAGCTGCGCCAGTTTACATCAGCATAGTGTTTAACCTGGTATTACAGCATTGTAAACGTAGTATGAAAAGGCAAAGACCTTTGTGCCACTGCCACATAATACTCAACTAGTGACGAAAACATTCTTTCTGTATTGTTTGCTGCCAGAACAAAACCAAATTGGTTGGCAGCCTTGTGAATGACATTTTCAAAGCGTGCCTACATGTGAATGAGGAAGGTTGGAGAAAGTGACTGCTCCCCACTGTCTAGTTCATTCTCCTTTTACGTGGAGCGTAACAGCCTTGATTAAACTGTTTAGATCTCATTTACTTTCACTCTGACTTCTTTGATTGTACGTGTATACAAGATACATTGGAGAGAAGGGCAAGGTGCGAATAGTGTGTTGCTGTTATGTTTTTGTTGGCAGCTGGAAATGGTTATCAAAATGAGGGGGAAACTTACACTACACTTTCATGAATCAACAAAAAGTTTTCTGGGCCACATACTTCCTGAATTACTATAGGGAAAACATGTGCAAGGTGTGTTCCGTAACCACCCTATCCATCAAGATTAGCATTGTACAAATAGGGCAGCAAGCTAGGACATTGATCTCCCTCCTCCCCCAAGTAAAATAGTAGAAGGCATCCAAAAAATCCTGTCTTTTGACAAATCCATGGTTTCCCTCTAATTCCACAAATAAAGAAGTATAAAATGCTTTCAAAACTCAGATGGAGTAATTCTGGCAAAGTGAAATCTAAAGGTCACTGCAAGAAAGAGGGGGGGAGAGAGACTCCAAATCGA